GGGTTTAGGGGTTTAGGGGAATTAGGGGTTTGGGGTTTCGGGGTTTGGGCGCTTAGGGTGAGAAAGGGTTTGGGGGTTTAGGGGTTTGGGGGTTTAGGGTTCTGGGGTTCTGGGTTTAGGGATTTAGGGTTTTAACTGTTTGGGGTTTTAGGGATTTAGGGTTTAGGGTTTAGGGTTTCGAGGGTTGGAAGGAACTACAGGACAGAAGTGGGTTCTGAGGGGCAGAAGGCGGGATCCCTAGGAGGGAACCGGAATCTTAAAATCATGCCTAAGTAGCCACTAAATAGCCCCTAAAATAACCCCCTAAGGCCCCTCATAAGGGTCCCTCCTTCCTAAACCCTAAACCCTAAACCCTAAACCCTAAACCCTGAACCCTAAACCCTAAACCCTAAACTACAGCTCCTGGTGCAGAAGCACTGGCTGAGCAGGTCCTCGGGCTGGCGAGGTCGACAAACACGGGCGCTGAGGGGTTCAAAGTTGAGTCTTGGCTCCCAGAACCCCCTGTTTAGGGTGAAACCCTCGGGTTTAGGGTTTAGGGTTTAGGGTTTAGGGTTTAGGGTTTAGGGTTTAGGGTTTAGGGCTTAGGGCTTAGGGCTTAGGGTCTAGGGTCTAGGGTCTAGGGTTTAGGGGTTTAGGGGTTTAGGGGTCTGGGGTTTAGGGTTTAGGGGTTTAGGGGTTTAGGGGTTTAGGGGTTTAGGGGTTTAGGGGTTTAGGGGTTTAGGGGTTTAGGGGTTTAGGGGTTGGGGTTTAGGGCTTACCGTTTCGGGTTTGGGGTTTGGGGCTTGGGGTTTTGGGCTTTGGGTTTAGGAACTGGGCGCTTACCCCTGAAAGGATCCAAACAGTGGATCCCCTTAAGGGCTCCGAAGAATGACCCAATAGTGGTATGGGGTAGTACTTGGTTGTGGGTTCCCCTACTACCCCATTCTATACTACCCCCCCCCCTAGGTTCCCCCCTTAAATAACCTTAATTAGGCTGAATAATCCCTGGGAACCTAAACCCTAAACCCTAAACCCTAAACCCTAAACCCTAAATAACTTTGATTTATGGGGGGAACCTAGGGGGGGGGTAGTATAGACGGGGGTAGTAGGGGAACCCATTTGGGCCCTCCCAGACTCAGATCGCCCCCAGCCTTCGGAGGGCAGTTTAGGGTTAGGGTTTAGGGTTTAGGGTTTAGGGTTAGGGTTTAGGGCTTAGGGTTTAGGGTTTAGGGTTTAGGGTTTAGGCTGTAGGGGTTCTGATTCCACTGCTCCAACCCTTCCCTCATACCCCGTATTCAAGACTCAAGTAGCAGACACTCCATCCACGAAGTGCCTGCAATTTGTAAACTCGGCTTAGTTTACAACATCCAAGGCCTTTGGACCGTGAAAACTGTGACCTCCATGGGCGAACACTGAAAGGACATTGCAGACTCTCATCTGGGGGCACCAAACCCCCCGACTTCGGCACTACCCGGAACATCGATCCAAGGGTCCGAATGTTGCAACAAAGAACGCAAAGAAAAATAGAGGACATAAAGGCATACGACACCCGAAACATGCACGTATCTCCTGCAGTTCTCTCATGCCTTCTGGACCATGCCATTTTTCTAACAAGATTGGAATGCTCACAAGTGTTGCTGTCTGTCAGTGGCGACCAGGTGGCGCACATTTCGAGCGCAACGCAGAAAGCCATTGGATGCTACTGGGAGGTTCATGGTACTTATTCACCAGTTATGACTGTACCTATAACCCACCTTTCAGCCCCTCAAGTGCCCTTATATGGCTATAAGGACAGTTTTAAGTACAGTTACAATTGGTTACCAAGTACCCTAAACCCTAAACCCTAAACCCTAATCCGAAACCCTAAACCCTAAACCCTAGAACCTCCAAGTATGGGTGAAACATCCAGCTGCGCATCAAGCCTTGTAGAACCGATGGATGCGCTTGGACCTGGCAAGACATTCAGGGTTTAGGGTTTAGGGTTTAGGGTTTAGGGTTTAGGGTTTAGGGTTTAGGGTTTCGGGTTTTGGGGTTTAGGGTTTAGGGCTTCGGGCTCAGGCTCAGGGTTTAGAGTTCAGGGATTCAATGCTAGGCTGCGGGCAAAAGGTATCCGAGTCAGAAGGTATGGAACTTCCCAGCAGGCCCAGCCCTAAACCCTAAACCCTAAACCACCCTAAACCCTAAACCCTAAACCCTAAACCCTAAACCCTAAACCCTAAACCCTAAACCCTAAACCCTAAACCCTAAACCAAGATAAGGAAGGCCGCGGCCGGACTTTAAACCTTCAAAGTGGCGCTCAAGCTTCGGGAGTCGGTGTCTTCGGTTGGGACATTCCCCCCTTCTACTAACAGTCCTTCATAGGGGATTTCTAAAAGGGGATTATAGTAGGGATTATAATAGGGATTACAGCAGGGATTATAATAGGGATTATGATAGGGATTATAATGGGGATTATGATAGGGATTATAATGGGGATTATAATAGGGATTATAATGGGGATTATAGTAGGGATTATAATGGGGATTATAGTAGGGATTATAATCGGGATTATAGTAGGGATTATAATGGGGGTTATAGTAGGGATTATAATGGGGATTATAGTAGGGATTATAATCGGGATTATAGTAGGGATTATAATGGGGGTTATAGTAGGGATTATAATAGGGACTATAGATTACTATTCCCCCTTGTACTAACAGTCCTTAATAGGGATTTTACTAGGGATTATAGTAGGGATTCTAAAAGGGGATTACTATTCCCCCTTGTACTAACAGTCCTTACTAGGGATTACGAGGGATTATAGTCGGGATTATAATCGGGATGATAGTAGTGATTATAAAAGGGGAGAGTCTTCCCCTCTAACAGTCCTTAATAGGGATTATCACAAGGGGGTACTGAACTATGAACGTGGCTCTCTTTGCCTTTTAAGGCTTTGCCTTTTAAGGCTCTGCAAATCTCAGCCCAACAAGTTAACGAAAGGCTGTGGTGCCATGGCCGAAGGGACTTTATGTAAACCTTTAGAGTGGCTCTCCCTCAACCCCGAACCCTGAACCCCAAACCCTAAACCCCAAACCCTAAACCCTAAACCCTAAACCCTAAACCCTAAACCCTACCAAGGTTTTGCAGCTCTCAGCTCAGAAGTTGGCAACCCCTGCGCCGAAACTCCAAACCCATGCACTCGCAACACTCGTAAATGTTGGGATGTTCCCCCCCACCCCCCCTTATGCTAGCTTGCCCAGTAACCTAGGATTAAAAAGGGTGCCCTTTTTTGCTTAAAGGGGATTATAGGGGAACCTAGAGCCCCCAAAAAGGGAATAAGGGCACTACTGGGCATCCCAGTATCGTAGCAGTCCTTAACAGGGATGATAATGGGGGTACTATAACCCCGACTAAGGACCGTTAGTATACGGGTGAACATGCCAACTCGTAAATGCCATGAATACCGAAGCCTAGGAAGGCTATCGGCTTAAGAACCTCCCACGAACAGAGCATCTTCATATTCTTCCTGATAAGCTCAAGTTTAGGGTTTAGGGTTTAGGGTTTAGGGTTGAGGGTTTAGGGTTTAGGGTTTAGGGTTTAGGGTTTAGGGTTTAGGGGGTTATCATTCGTTATTTTTCTGGGTGGTTCTTAGGCAAATACTAGACCCAACAGTGGGCTAGGAATAACAAAGGGTACCATTGTTTAAAGGGGCTTCTCAGGGAACCTAAACCCTCATAAAAGGGAATAAGGGCTCAACCCTAAATCACCCTAAACCCTAAACCCTAAACCCTTCGTTCCTAGCAGAGTAGCTTCACGATGAAGCAGGAATGCTCAGCTCGAGAGCCCCATCGCACCAACAATGGCGCGATTGTTTTGGGTTTAGGGTTTAGGGTTTAGGGTTTAGGGTTTAGGGTTTAGGGTTTAGGGTTTAGGGTTTAGGGTTTAGGGTTTAGGGTTTAGGGTTTAGGGTTTAGGGTTTAGGGTTTAGGGTTTAGGGTTTAGGGTTTAGTGTTTAGAGTTTAGGGTTTAGGGTTTAGGGTTTAGGGTTTAGGGTTTAGGGTTTAGGGTTTAGGGTTTAGGGTTTAGGGTTTAGGGTTTAGGGTTTAGGGTTTAGGGTTTAGGGTGCTAAAAATGTGCGTTTTCGAAGTTTAGAGTTGCCTTCTTGGGGACCTTCTCAAAAGGGAATCCCCACTATTTTGGGGGGGATCTAGAAAAGTAGCATGCACCGGGCCTTGGCCTCTTGGAATTTCATCAAACAACGCACCCCCTGCTCCTATGGAAGCTCATAGAGGGGTCGGAATAATTACTAACAGTATTCCCTTATAGTCCCTTTGTAATTACACGATCATAGCCCCCAAGACCCTGTTCCCTATATTAGCTGCTAGAGGCAACTTTGTCTGTTAGCTCATGTCCTCCCAAGTCTTCAACAAACTTCAGTCGTCCAAAGTCCCAGGATCACCTTTTTCCGATCGTTGTGCAGCGAGTGCTGGGGCGGGGCCTCATAAGTGCATGTAGTTTCTACCTCATAAGAGTGCCGAAGTAGGTGCACGGGTCTGCGTGGGGGCAACATTTTGGGACCACAAAGCCTACTACGTGGGTGGTCGATGTAAACGATGTCTCCTCGGAGTAGATTCCTTCTAACCCTAAACCCTAAGTCCTAAACCGGCCTAAACCCTAAACAAGAAACCCCTAAACCCCAAACCCTCATTAGGTGCAGAGGCCTTTCGGAAGGTGGGGCGAACCCTAAAGCAACCCCCTTGCAGTGACCCCTAGGTGCCGTGGTGAGGCATTTCTATGTGCGGAAATGAGGCGCGTGACCAGGTGCGATATTGAGGAGGTTCTGCAATGCACTTATGATCCCCATGCCGTTTGCAGCACGAGGCTCTTTCCCCACAATGGCTCTACATCCTTTCAGGTCTTGCACTTCCCTGGTATTTTGGAAGTGCAGAGTAGGGGAAGAGGCGCTCGCCAGAAAGTGTGTCAGGCCTGGCTAGCCAAGCCTCCAGGACAGAAAAATGTCTTGCAGGAGGCAGAAAGCACTCTCAGGGGTGTGAAACAGGCGCTCCTTCCTCCTCGCGCAGATTCTCAATGGCATCCCAGTGTGGAACTTGTTCCACGGCAGGAGGTCCATAGTGAAGCAGCGCCTTTCGCGCCTCATTGTAGAGAACATAAACATGGCGGTTCCTGCACTTCTTCTCCTCGACTGGAATCGTACGCTGCTTCCCCTGCCCTGTTAAAACCAACTTCGGTGCTAGGGCAGTGTCAGCCGCGATACTCTCACCAGGGGCCAAGAGAAAGCCACACCTCTTCGCCGAGACTGAGGAAATCATCGTGCCTTCATTGGGGGTAAAATGCCACATCGTCGAGGATTCGGATGCTTGGCCCTTGGAAGGAGGGCCAAGCAGGTGCTTCAGCTGAGGCTGAGAGGTGGGGTGCCTCTTCTTTCGGCCAATCCCACAGCAGGTGACACTTTCACTCTCAACTTCACTGATCAAGTAGAGATTGGAACCCTTTGCCACCTTCAACTGGTCAGCTTGCAAGCTCCTTGGCTGCCCGGTATCCTAGACCTAGGAACAAAAAAGGGAGCGCCCCTTTGTTTTTTGCTTAAAGAGATTTTTTGAAGGGAGCCTTTAAAATCCCAAACAAGGGGGGAACAGGGGTACGACTGGGCATCCAGGACTCAGAGAAGCCTTCAAGGCATCATCTTCGGACTCGGTCTCGACCTCCAGCGATGCGTTGTCCGGAAGTGTCAGTACCTTGGTACCCCAGCAACCATATTAGAGTAGGGGCACCCTTTGTTTGGGCTGGTTACTTTCTAAGGGAGCCAGGATCCAAAAAAAAAAGGAAAAAGGGTACCACTGGGCTACCAAGGCACTCGGTTGCCACGACCCTCCATTTCAAACTGCGCCTTGCGGCCGCTGGAGCGAACGGTCACTTTCATGCGGAAGTCCTCCATCGAGACATTGTGCAGCACGAGGTGAAACGGGTCCACTGGCTCCATCTTAGGCTCTGGGAAAGCTGCTGCGAGATCATCAGCGGTATTCCATTGGAGGGCCTCCTCGAAGGGAAAGACTGCCTGCTCGATGGTGCTTTCATAGTCATTCGTCTTGCGCCAGCAGGTGACATGTATATGTCGGTTCTTGGCCTCCTCTGCTGAAAATGTCTTGATTGCTTCGCGGTTCCTGTTCGGGACGTCTGGATGATCTTTTGCTGACATTGTCCATGCGGACCGAACCGTCACCTGACGACTGGGCTCAAAAACGCCGGGTACTCTTGGAAAAAAAAACATCCAAAAAGCAGCTTGGGAATACGGAGAATAAAAAATGAAAAAAACAAAAATAAACAAATAAATAAGAAATATAAAAAACAAATAAAAATAAAATATATGTGTATATATATATATAAAACGACCCATCCACCTGTGGAGTTTACCCTGGTAAAAACCATCCCTGCCCCCCGAGGTGGCCTGAGTTCCTGGGGATGCGCCCAGCACCCGGCACCCTGCGATGAAGCTCACTTCTTGGCGCTCCTTTCCGGGCTCCGCGTGAAAGAGGGTCAGGTCCTTGGTGAACTCTAAAGCAATTTTTGGCGAAGTTACGAAGTTGCGGTCTGAACTCTAAAAGCCATTTCTGGCAAAGTTACGAACACACGCTGGGTAATTTCGGGCACGATGATGACCGAAAATCTCTCAAAACTACCAAAGCAACAAAGCCAAGAGTCTCTTCCGTATGTGTGTCCCATTGACCAATGATGCACAACGCAGCAACCATCGATTGGAGCATGAGGAGGAGGTGCAATCTGTGCGCTGGGCCCCTGGTGCTTGTGCGCCTTGAGGTAAAGGAACGAGCCTTGGAAAAGCATGAGCGCAGCTTGAACTCACCCTAACCCTAAACCCTAAACCCTAAACCCTAAACCCTAAACCCTAAACCCTAAACCCTAAACCTTAAACCCTAAACCCTAAACCCTAAACCCTAAACCCTAAACCCTGAACCCTAAACCCTGGACCCTACCATCCCTACCACCCCACCCCACCCCCCCCCACCCCCCAAAAAAAAAAAAACAAAAAAAAACAGAAGCTCCTAGAGGAGACCGATTAAAGCCCAAAAAAACCCGGGGGGGTTCCTACGATAGTAAGCGACTCTAACACGAGTTCATGGTTGGGAGAGTATCCAAAATTGAAACTTGAATACCCGATGACAAAGAATATAGACCCCATACAGTTCGATGCCCTTGAAACAAGGACCCCCATACTGTCGTTTGGGGCTTCGGGACCCCTTTTCTCGCAAACCTCAAAAAAGAACACACCACCAGCAAAGCAACCACTTTGGACTCTTGCAAGATTTTCTGCGGTCAATGTCTGTGTCCACGGCTTCCGATCGGCCGGGTGGGCCCCAGCGACCTCAATATACGATCCCGTGGGTAGAGACAACTTCGCACTCTGGTTCTTTGCCAAACTGTACTCCACGAACTTGGAATCGTAGATCACCCGAACCGTGGTGTCACGGCCAGGGTACCCACCCAGCTGCACGCTGTGCACATTGAGTTCCAGCATGGCTGCTACCATGAACAACTTGAGCCCAAGTTCTTCTCAGCATCCAACAAACCCAAAACTTCCAGTCTCCATAATTACAACAATTCCAAAACATTTCTACCTAGCTCAAAACCAAACTCTCTACGCCCAAAACCCCAACTGGTCAAAGTGTCAAACCCCCTCGCCCCTCCCCCCACCGCCCTCCCGCCAGGAACGAGGGGGGCCTTCCCATCTTCTGATCGACGTCTGAAGAGACGATGTTCAACTCTTCACACCCTACCGTCTGCGGCAAAGCGTCGAGAGCAAAAAGGGTGACGATGTATGTCAATGTACTCGTAGATCTTTTAAGGGCTCCATCATAACTACAGAATATATGAATGTGAGGAGATGGCAGCTATAGGAAAAATGTCTGAAGCAAACTTTTGAAGGCGGGGCCGTGCCACAAAGTTTGCCGAAACTTTGTTGGCTTCGGGCGGGAGCAGGGGGGGGAGGATGCGAATTAAGTTTACCCTAAATTCTAAACCCTAACCCTAAACCCTAAAACCTAAACCCTAAACCCCAGGCCAGGTTGAAGGAGCTTACCATTCCTTGCATGCATGGTCTCTGTCTTACTCACTTGGGAGTTTACGATATTCGGGGTACCTTGTTGGGGTCCTTATGACAAGGGAATCCTACTATGGTTTAGGGCTTAGGGCTTAGGGCTTAGGGCTTAGGGTTTAGGGTTTAGGGTTTAGGGTTTAGGGTTTAGGGTTTAGGGTTTAGGGTTTAGGGTTTAGGGTTTAGGGTTTAGGGTTTAGGGTCGTGCAGAGGCCTTGTGCCGCCCAAGAATTTCCAACATGAGCAAATGGATGTTGTCTAAATTCTAGTGCCAAACCTAAGACTGCAGGGTTCCCGTGCGCCTTGCCCTTGCGCCGCAAGGGGGCGCAGCCCCCCCCCCATTTGCAAATACTTGGCTCGCATGCCAGGTTTTAGAGACTGTGCTTGTGTGAGAGATTTTGAGCGGGGTGCGTCTTGAAAGCTTAAAATTGGGGAGCGCGACAAGCAAATACTCGGGAGGCGTGCAGTTTCCGGACTCCAAATCCAGCTTCGAGTCCAGGATTTGCGTGCCTCTCTCAGGACCAGCACATGTCGGAAAGTACGCGCCTGCCGATGTTTTTGTACTTAAGCACAAAGGCCACCCGTGGTTGCGGGCAGTACAAGGCCGCTCCCCGTTTAGGGTTTAGGGTTTAAGGTTTAGGGTTTAGGGTTTCGGGTATAGGGTTTAGGGTTTAGGGGTTTAGGGTTTAGGGTTTAGGGATTAGGGTTTAGGGTTTAGGGTTTAGGGTTTAGGGTTTAGGGTTTAGGGTTTAGGGTTTAGGGTTTAGGGTTTAGGGTTTAGGGTTTGGGGGATCATATTGGGGTCCCTTGTTTTCGTAAACCCGCGCTTGACTTCTGAATTTGATGCCCGCAAGTGACCCTCATCCAGCTCGGGTTAACGCAAAATGCTCTTGAAACCCTCAGTAAAACATTCTGATGCCCTCAAACCCTAAACCCTGAACCCTGAACCCGAAACCCTAAAGCACTCTTTCATGCATAATATAGATGTTAATGACCTTGTGGGCAAGGTTATATATTTAGCGGGCAAGGGCATATAAATAGTGGGCAAAGTAATATATTTAGCGGCATATATTTAGCGGCATATATTTAGCGGGCAACGTCATACATTTAGCGGGCAAGGTCATATAAATAGTGGGCGAGGTCCATCGGCTGCAAAATCACTTTGCCCACTAAATATATGACCTTGCCCGCGAAATATCTGACTTTGACCCGGGCAAGGTTATATATTTAGGGCAAGGTCATATATATATATATATATATAGCGGGAAATGTTATATTTAGCGGGCAAGGTCATATATTACGCGGGCACTGTCATACATGTAGCGGGCAAGGTCATGTCTTTAGCGGGCAAGGTCATATATATATATATATATATGCTCACCCCCCCCCCCCCCCAATGGACCAACCGCGAAATGAAAAGGACAAGAAAAACTAGTTGTTTTTGTCGTGCTTTGTGGTCTTTTGCGCGTTTTGCCTTATTTCTTGTGCTTTGTGCTTTTTGTGCTTTTTGTGCATTGATGCACTTTTCTTGCATTTTTTGCACTTTTGCACTTGTTTTTGCTTTTTTGCACGTTTGCACTTTTTTTGCTTTTTACATTTTTTGTGCTTTTCGCACTTTTGCACTTTTTTTGCACTTTTTTGCACTTTTTTGCACTTTTTTGCACTTTTTTGCACTTTTTTGCACTTTTTTGCACTTTTTTGCACTTTTTTGCACTTTTTTGCACTTTTTGCAATTTTTGTGCTTTTTTCTAATTTAGCAATATTTTTGCAAATGTTTGTCCTCTTGAATGTGCTAATCCAAAAATCAAAAAATCAAAAAATCCAATAATCCAAAAATCCAAAAATCCAAAAATCCAAAGTTCTCCGGACAATCTCCCAGGAAACTTTGGATTTTTGGATTTTTGGATTTTTGGATTTTTGGAATTTTGGAATTTTGGATTTTTGGATTTTTGATGATTTTTATGATTTTTCGCATTCGAGGTTGGCTCATATTCGTTCTCCTTTTTTTGACTGAAAGGAGTTGGATTTTTGATGATTTTTATGATTTTTCGCATTCGAGGTTGGCTCATATTCGTTCTCCTTTTTTTGACTGAAAGGAGGGCGACCATTCAAATGTACCCTTATCAGAATTTCAAATGCGTCCTACCTACTCGAGACGTGAACACTACATCCATAGCACAACTAAATAGCATATTCAATAAGACTTTTTGAATACGCTGTTTCTGTATATGAGGACCAGGTAAAGTCTTGCCTATTCAAATCACTGAGAAAAGCACGCACATGGGTTATGCACAGGCCTTTGCCAAGGAGGCTTTAACAGAGAAGGCCTATATGTGCAAATATCTAATTTTGTGCATTTGAAAGAAGCTGACATGTCCGTTTTTTTCAATAAGAACCATTCTGGGATCACAGTACCTGCTGTTTAAGAAAAAGTCCATATCTCACGAATACCCTTACTGTGCGATAAAAATTTAGTTTTTCTGATCCTTTGATTCAAGCTCTTAATATTGTATTGCCCCCCCCCCCCCGGTGATTATTACAGTAAAGCCTGCTCGAATCTCATTAACGTTTTAACTACTCGATTGAAAACTGTATCAATAAAATCCGAAGTAGCCTGTTGAAAAAGCCAATAAGGTTTTGAAATATCCTACTCGAAAAGCCAACAAGAGGTTGAACAGAAGAATTCAAGACAGTAATAGGGCTTGGGTCCAATACGGGCTAGTGAACTGTCCACTCTAAGACTTCCCCTGGTGAAGTGAAGTGTCCATTCCGGGTAGCACAGTTCACGTACTGGTACAAGAACCAGAACATGTGGACAGCCACGGAGAGAATGCTGCGCGCTTTGTTTGATAAGTAGGGTTGAGAGGCCAAACCACTCATCGTTCAGTCTTGCTGCAAAGCAGAAACTCACCGACCTCCAAATTTGGTACGCAGATCCTGCGACCAGAGGCCACACCGCGAAAGTGAAAGGGTGCCAGAGTGCCTGCACGGGTATAGAGTAGTGGCAGCTATATAAGCATCCCAAAAGCAAAGAAAGCCCAAAATCCAAAAACCCAATCCAAAGATCAAAAACCAAAAATCCAAAGTTTCCTGGGAGATTGTCCGTTTTTGTTGCACGTGTTGCACTTTTTGCACTTGTTGCACTTTTTTGCACTTTTTGCACTTGTTTGCACCTTTTGCACTTTTTTTGTGCTTTTTTCTAATTTCGCAATATTCTTGCAAATGTTTGTCCTCTTGAATGTGCTAATCCAAAAATCCAAAAATCCAAAGTTTCCTGGGAGATTGTCCGGAGAACTTTGGATTTTTGGATTTTTGGGTTTTTGGATTTTGGAGTTTTGGATTGGAAAAGCACATTCAAGAGGACAAATATCTGCAAAAATACTGCGAAATTAGAAAAAAGCACAAAAAAGTGCAAAGAGTGCAAAAGAGTGCAACAAGTGCCAAAAGTGCAAAACGTGCAAAAAAAAAACTGGAAAAAAAAAAAAAAACACAAAAGAACACAAAAAGCACAAAAAAACACTTTAAAAAGCACACACACACACACACACACAAAAAAAAAAATGCACAGGAAGCACAAAAAGCACAAAGATGTGGACAGGGAAAGCATGGCAGGGTACAGTGTCTCGAGAACCTTGGACATGTCGATGTGGGTCCATTGGGGTTGGAGGTTGGTCCATTGGGGGGGGGCGACCATATATATATAGAGAGAGAGAGAGAGAGAGAGAGAGAGAGAGAGAGAGATATGATTAGCGGGCAAGGTCCACCCCCCCCCCCCCCCCCCCCCCCACCCCCCCGACTCCCCCCCCCCCCCACCCCCCCCCCCCTCCTTTCATGGAATGGGATTCTCTGGGTGGGTGGGTACCTTGAAAGCTGCTAACCTGGTGAATGCTTGAACTTTGAGATGCTGAACCCTAAACCCTAAACCCTAAACCCTAATCCCTAATCCCTAAACCCAAAACCCAAAACCCAAAACCCTAAACCCTAAACCCTAAACCCTAAACCCTAAACCCTAAACCCAAACCCTGGAGCCCTCAGCCCCGAACTGCCTTGAACCTTCAGAGTTGGGCCTGCGGCCGCTGCGCCGCGCGAAAGTGCGGCCATGGCCGCCGCGAGAATTCGGACCCTCCCCCCTTTTTGACCATCTGAGGAGTGAGGGTTTAGGGTTTAGGGTTTAGGGTTTAGGGTTTAGGGTTTAGGGTTTATAGGGTTTATAGGGTTTATAGGGTTTAGGGTTTAGGGTTTATAGGGTTTATAGGGTTTATAGGGTTTAGGGTTTAGGGTTTAGGGTTTAGGGTTTAGGGTTTAGGGTTCAGGGTTCAGGGTTTAGGGTTTAGGGTTTAGGGTTTAGGGTTTAGGGTTTAGGGTTTAGGGTTTAGGGTTTAGGGTTTAGGGTCTGGGTTTAGGGTTTGGGTTTAAGGTTAAAG